AACTGAACCAGAGGGTTTATTATTTATCAAAGGAGTTCTTCACAATTATGTAGATATTTTATTATTTAATAGGTGGAAATAGAAATATCCTTTCCATTGTGTTTTATTAATTTATTTAGTTAAGTTAATTTATTTTTTATTCAGAATCGTAAGTTTCAAACTTTTCCAATGTCTCATGGGTGAGACGAGGGTGAGACAAATGGAGGACGTAACGTAGGGATCAGTACAGGGGCAGAAAGTTGTATGAGGGCACAACTGTCCATCAACTAGTCTAATATTTGCACCTGCTTCATATTATCCATCCTCTACCTGATTCTACGATTTACCAATCAACGGATTTACTTACTTATTTCATAACAGGACCTCCAAGAAACCCAGAAATAACAGACAAACAATTGAAGAGAAAGACGAAGAGACTGGCGCACAAAAAAGAGAACCTGATAAATGCCCTCGAAAATAACTTCGAACTAAGTCTTAAATCAGAAAAGGAATAATACATTAATATACAGTCTTGAAATTATAGACGATAAAGACATCCGATCACTGGGCCCTGGTGATAAAGTGAAAGCTGAAATAAAGCTTGTTGAAATAAATGATTGAATGCCCCGTATAAAGGGAGTATTCCTGAGATACTTAAGTATGCCCTACTTATCTCAGATTTTTAAGAAATAATTTATTAATTTTGAAATATTGAAGAATTTGTTAAATACATAATAGGTACCTACCTAAATATAATTATGCGCACTAGTTCAAAAATATTTGCTTTTTTATTTAAGTCTAAACCAAGAGAGCTCAAAAAATTGGTTTTAGAATAAATATCTGAGTAAATAGAAAAAAAAAATGTACTAGATTTTTATGCAGGCCTGACGTGAATAATAGTTATTTATACACCAAGTGAGTTAAATGAATGTTTATTCATGAGAAGAAAGTTTAACCCACGAGCCCTAGCGAGTGGGTTAATTTTCTTCGAATGAATAAACATTTTAACTCACGTGATTTATACAAAATTTTATCCCATTTTGATGGACATTTAAAAAGTAAAAATAATTTATTTAGTAGTTATGAAAGCGCTAATTATTGAAATTGGTGGTTGCTAAGGTATAACTAGTTGTTTGTTTGTATTTGTAGCAGATTTTTATACTGGCAGAGTGACTTAAAAGACCGAGAGTGAGTTAAAAATATTTTAAGTCACTCAGGTGATAAACGTCTACTTACCTTTGTCATTATGCGTTCAATAATGTCATTTTTAAACGTCAAAATGGGATAAAGAAATAAATATTTAATAATTATATAAAATATACAAATCGATGTATAATAAATAAGTTTAGAAAAAGGGTCGTAGGTAGGGGACAGAAGGGCATACAACCGGATCGGAATGTTCTGAGAAATCCTACGACAAAATTACGAGAAAATATATTATTTTTTTTGCTTTTTTGAACTATAAAGTAACTCGTTATTTTATTTTCCTTTCTGTATGAAAATAGGCTTGAATAAGCATTAAAAAAGCGTACACATCGCCTTATTACGGCAAATATTTGGTCAAACCGTCTTTACCTTAACCTATATATACATTTAAAAATGGTTACATTTTTTTTTTAATTAATATTTTTTTTTTAGTTGGTTTAAGGTTTTCATTTATTTATAGGATATAAGCTCAATTAATAGCACATACTCACACTTTGTTCTTTTTTTTTTTTTCATGTAAAATACCTGCCAACGCAACGCCTTTCCTGCCATAAGGATTCCACCTTCCAACATCAAGACTCCAAGATCGTTCAACAGGAGACCACTACATTGACCACCGGCATTGATGCACACAAGTTCAGGACAAATACCTGTAATTTATTTCAATACCTGACGAACCTGGCGCATTGAATCCGACAATTCAAGTCAATGCCAAATGGTTCATTGATGCAGTGGAGATCCAGACTCCAGAGTATCAGCACAGCAAATAAAAATTCGAGACGCAAAGACCTCGATAACATTGACCAGATGCTGTTGTGTTAACCATCATTCCACTTTACCATGGGGAATAAAACCACCACCGCCCAAGATTAGGAAATGTTAAACCTAATCTCAGGACACAAAAGTTTACTATAAGCCAGTAGCATCAGTTATAATGCACCATCAAAAGTAAACAAATAACACGACTCAGAAGCTAACCGGGATGTAGGTCAAGTTCAGGCCACTAAGCATGAGCACCGTCGTCCGCAAAGCAACTTGGCGCTCGGCAGGAACTATCGATCGAACACCTATTGATCGAACTTTGTGTACCAAAGTCAAATACCACATACTCCGCACCCTGAACTCATCATTTGTTAACGGTGAAGGTAAAGCCATATGGTCATATTGGTCACAATCAATGACATCCAACGCATTCAAATTGGTTCTTTCAATGGTTTGGAAGCTACGTCAAAGCCAGATACCAGACGCCGCTAGCAGTAGCAGCAAGCCGGTCAGAAAAATCACCAGTCAAACGAAGAAATCAGCAAATGGAAGAATCAGCAAAGCGACAGAACAGGAAAAGGAACACTTCAATTTCATTTATCAAAATTGTTAATTTTTTTTCTCTCAGCGCTTTGGCAAGGTACTCAATATTTTTTTTTTCTCTTTCAATGTAAGTATACTCAATTTTCCATAAGTATTTTTTATGTGTAGGTATGTTTCGGTAAATTATATATATTTTTTTGTAGGAATTATCAATAGGAAATGTAGGTACTTAGGAAAATTTAATTGTTTTTAGTAACCATTAACTTTTAACTTTTAGGTTTTAACTTTAACTCTTGTTAAATTGTACTTGTAACTTGTATTAATTTTGCTTTGCTTTTATAATTAATTTCTTTTTCTTTTCTTTTAAAATATTTTCATTTTTTTCAAACGCTATGATTTAATTTTTATTTTTTTTTAGATCTTTTATTGCTGGGGCCTAGCTTTCTGTAGTCTGAGGGAAATGCCAAGCCAAAAAATATCAGCCTCTATAACATTATTATTCCAATACGAATTAACCAAAGTTCATTGACTAATAATGTCCCAATTTAGTTGGGCAATTCGGATGTTATAATAAATAAAGCAAACGCATTCAGAGTCAGCAAAAAAGCTTAAAGCCAACAACCTAGGTTTTAGGTCAATAATTTTTGCTGACAATTCTGAATCGATTTGGATCGATAAAGCGTAATTTTCAAGTTAGTTGTAAATCTAAATGTGGGCGTTAAAGTCGTAAAGGTTGGGCTACGGGCTAACGGGCTACAGGAAGATGGGATTCCGGTGAGTACCAAAATTAAACTTTTATAAATCGTCTAGTGTTCTCATCGGCCATCATTCTACATTACTGTTCTTAATTTAATTATTAATTTTGAAAATAAATATTTTTCTTGGTGTTACAAAACTTGATTGTTTTAATCTCTGAGATTCCCCCGGTCCCTAGTTGCAACTAAATAAGATTGCAACAGTCTCAGCCAAACAGGGTTGTGACAATAGTATTTAATCAAGCGCAAAATCCCGAAAGAGAATAAAATCTCAGGTGGCTAGAGTAAATTATAATTTACTTACCCCTGTACACGTGCCCCTAATGTTGCGTCCCATAAAACAAAAAAGCAAATACATACAAAGAGTTTGAAATAAAGCACCATATTACTTGCTCTACAGGAACAACAACAATCACACTTTTCGATTGAATAAAACAAAAATTCAACTTTCCCTAAAAATATATAGGTTCCTAAACTTTACCTTTTAGACGCAAATATTAAACTTGACAAATAATATGTGCAAAGGTTAACAACTTTCCAAAATAAAATTCATTGTTTTTGATGTAGATATTATTCTATTCTGTGATGCAAATATCAATAGAGTACTAATTAAAATTAGAGTGCATTAATCCATAGTTTGATGTACGTTTAAAGGGGGCTATACTCGCTGAAAACTTTTTCTTGGTTAATTTACAGTTTAGTAGGGGATAGCAGGGATGCTATCAACACTAAAAAAATTGTACCAGAAAGTAGGGAATAATTGTACTAGATTGGCGACATTGTGTACTAGCTGAAAGCGTGTCAAATTTTGAAATTTGAATACAAATGTAGGCTCTGCTTATTGGGGGTAAATATCACTGGTTTAGGGTCGGTTTCTAAATAGCGAGTCGCCTCCGGGTTGGTTTTAACTCCAAGGTAAACGTGTCCAGTTGCAATGTTTACCATGGAGTTATGCTTGACCCGGGGATGACTCGCTATTGAGAAACTGGCCCTGAATGATAGAAATAAATGAATTTCTACAGATTATAAATCGGCTACCAATTACCGTGATCGGCTGAATAACCGAATAACCCCCGATACGTGACATACGTCAAATCACAGAATAAAAAAGTGCGTGTGCGTTCGAAACCATATTCGAAATGCCAAGTAAAATTCTACGTTCATGACATCACATTGCCTAGCAACCATCATCATCGCCTGTACTGTACGCGATAAATAGGTCGCGGGTGACGTCATGAAAGTAGAATTCCAATCGTCGTGATCCCAGCCCTGGAACATAGAACCCAACCCATAAGTAGAGAGTAGAGCTCAGAACTCGTTTACAGAGCGAAGAGCGACAATCGACTCGTAATCCAAATTGTACTAGATTTATGAGAGAGGTACTAGCGTACTAGGTGAAACCTGATTGTGCTAGATCTAGTACAATTGTACTAGAAATAGCATCCCTGGGGGATAGTAATAAAAACGATGACTTCAATGCACGTTTTTGATAAATACCTGAAAGGAATTACCATTGCAAAATCTATATACATGGTCATGTCAATAGGCATTTAGGTATATAGGATTACAGTGTACCTACATATGTTGGACCCCTTAATGGAATTGGTATTTTGTTCCACCTATTTTGAAATTTAACATTATCTTTGAAGGTAATTTTTAAGAGTTAAAATTATAAAGAAATCCTTTGTTATTCCAGGAAAACATCAAGCAAATATATGCTCAACATGTTTAAACAATTTATGAGTAGGTATTCCATCAATAATTTTTCTCATAGTTTTTTTTACCACTATTGTTAGCATAAATTTGCTCTCTAGTGAACACAATGTTATCAGATGCTTCGTAATGTTCAAATATAACAATCTGATTTCTGCCTTGTTTCATCAACGGCCAAGGCCAATACAGACATTGTTGAGGTCCAATTCTCGCGAATCTTCCCAAAACAAATCCATTTACAATTACTATGCCTTTGGTCCAAGATCTCATGTCTATGTAAGTATCTGTCGGTGAACCAATTTCAATAAATCCTAAAATTTAAAAACCAATAAACATCTATACTTTATTTTTTTCCAAGATAGATTTTGACATTGTCAACTTTGAAACATAAACAATGCCGCTAATGCCACTTATTGGCCGCTATTGTAAAACTGATGTCAACCTACAGAAACACCTCATTTTGCGACCAATCAGGGTCAAGCGTTATTGTTTATGTTTCAAAGTTTTCAATGTCAAAATCTATCTTGGGAAAAAATAAAGTATAGGTGCTTTTCAGCCATAGGCCAACCTCTATATAATCCAGCTTTGGTAGAACCTTCATATTTTCGCCAACCTTGCAGATTTAATGTCCAAAATGTTTTAAACTCCAATGGAATGTGTTGCCAATTTTTAATTGGCGCATCATTGATTAATATATCTCCTTGCCAGAGGCCTAGAATATTAGAAAAGTAATTTATGATTAGGTGCATCATATACATTACCTTTAAACTGATAATATTGAGTCAGTTTGCCATAGTTTACTCTACCCCAATTTTCAACCACCAAGTCGATGCTAGCATTGTACAAGGCAACATCGGTAAGAACTATTTGAGAATTTTCCAGTTTATAAAAACCAAAATTGCTTAAATCGTCAGCACTTTTCAGAGGCCGCGTTATTTGTTCTCCATTAACAAAAACCTGAAGGCAAATTTTCAATAATTTTCTAGAAAATATTTGAGTTGAACTTACCAATACTGAATCACAAACATGACCGCTTATAGTCAAAGTAGCATTAGCTGATAAATTAAGGTTTTCTTTTCGGTAAGTGATATACCCGTAACTTTGGCCTGTATTATTATTAATATCCAAAAGCTCCATTGCAATTGGATTTTCGTATTCTAGCTTAATAAAATGAGAATCTGGAAATAAGCAATTTTAGAAAACTATAAAAAATATATTATCAAAATATACTCACTAACTAATGAACTCAATGGTATATGTTCTACAATGGAAACTTTAGGATAAGCTACTCTTGTAATCAGTTCCGGTTCTTCTGGCAACCTAGTTTTTGGAGATGCAAACTTTGTGAGTAAAAATTTGATTAATTTATATTTAATTGTGTAATCGCCAGCTTCTGAAAGAGGTGCATCATAATCATAGCTAGTTGTATCTGAATTGAGTTAAAAATGTAACGGAACTATAGCGATTTTATGTTTTTCTTCAACTACCTGGTAAAAATCCACTATTATCCGGTTCATTATTATCCACATTTGCTCCATTCATAAACCCAAAACTAGTTCCACCGTGGAACATATAAATGTTAAAAGATCCCGGGTAGATAATAATTTGAAACAAATTCCATAGTAAAGTTGAAACTGGCCTGGTTTCGTGGTCTGTTCCCCAATGATCGAACCAGCCTGGATAATACTCCATTGCCATTTTTGGATGATTTGCTTGCATACGTTCTAGAGTGTCGAACGAAGCTTTCGGATTAGCTAAAAAGAGAGATCATATACAGGTATTAAAGAAAATGGTACGTAATGACTTAATTGTTGTTTCTTGTTTTTTTATGCAGCTCAACAGTCTTTGGGTACTTACAGTCAAAGTTCGCCGTTACCAAAAACAATTCCGGTATAGTACCGTTATCGTAAAACTTGACCACTCCATCTGCCGTCGTTAATAATTCTGTTATATTATTGTCCAAATAAATTTGACGAAGTTCTCTAAGGTATTCTTTGTCAGCAGTGAAATTTCCGTATGGTGTACTGCCGTATTCGTTTTCTACTTGAAATGCTATTACGGGACCACCGTTTATAAATTGGAGTGCTGCTAACAAAGGAAGGAGTGCATTGAAAAACCTGAAATATAAAAAATTGTCTTTTTTTTTCGAATATACATATAAATTAGGTTACCGTTTGACTGGTTCCATGTATTTTTCGTCTGACGTACGAAATTTGATATCTTTTTCTCTCAGTAACCAACTTGGAAAACCTCCAAATTCCCATTCAGCACAGATATAAGGACCCGGTCTTAAAATAGCTAATAGATCCTCTTCTTGGGCTATTTTCAAAAAAGTTTCTATATCCAGGAATTCTTCCATATCGGTACCACCATGCCCAAAGTCAAATTGCCCTAAACATTTTTCATTGAAAAAAATTACCTAATTGCATTATCATCTTACCTGGAAGAGACTCATGTAAATTCCAAGACACATAAGTTTCCACAGCATTAAGACCAGCAGCTCTCATTTTTCTCAATCTGTCCCGCCAAAGTTTCTTTGGCGTTCTAAAGTAATGCATTGCACCGGAGTATAGAGTGATATTTTTTCCATTTAGAGTAAAGTAATTTTGATCTGCATTCAGTCCTGATTGAATACCACCAGCAGTATAATATTCATATAAAGTAGGCAATGTAGTTTGAAAGTCGGATGATAGAGACATATTTTGAATAATATGGCAAGGTATTTCAATATTTGAAACGAATAATTAGCAGGATCACTGAGTAAAATTGAATATTTTAGTAAGTCAAGATTTTTACATTTTTAATACCATGCATAGGAGCGTGTATATGGAGTAAGTATAAATGACTATAATCAGAACAACAGGAGGGTCAAGTGTAGATAATAATACTTAAATGTTTAAGAGGTTTGTAGTTGGATAAAAATTTCATAGAGGTTGACAATTTAGTAAAAATACATGCTAAATTGAATCACACCTTTTTGTGATGGAAGGATTTTGTTAATTAGTACCTAGGTACCTATATTATATTGTATGAAGTTCAAGAAAATATAACCTTTCTCAACAGATGAACTATCGTGGTGCATATTTTGATTTAGTTATTTGTGCGAAAATAACTTATTAAGAATAATGACATAGGATTCAAGTGCAGATTAAGTAGGTACCTACTTAATATGAAGGAAATAGTATAGTTCTATGACTCCCTGACCAAGAAAGTCTCCGGCACCGCCAAATGTCACCCTCAACGGAAATGATGTCCAAGTCGATAATTTAGTTCAAAACTGACATTTGCCTGTAGATTTTTGTGGGCCAACTGCAGAGGAAGATGAGTCATTGAAGTTAAATTGTGTTCCAGTGAAACCCATTCAACAAGTTCCACCAGGACAGTAAGCTCATAGAACAGGACGATGAGTGGATTATTTTACCTATATTGGAAGGAGATGCATGTGAGAATGAATGAATGGATTGGGGGTATTGTTACATTGCAACCTGCATAGATCTATTGTGTCCCCCTTCTGGGTGTTTCAGTTGATAGGGTTTCTACTCAAAGTACCTCATCCAGCTTTAAAGCTTTTATGAAAGCACGTAGGCTGGATGGTGAGAAGGTGTTCTGAACTTTCCTTTCCGTCCTCGGAGAGGCAGCTGTTTTCGTTTTCGATTTTAATTCTCTCAAGGTGCTCGCTTGATCGACAGTGGCCAGTAAGGAATTCAGTGAGAAAGCGAAGATTGCTTTTACTCAGTGATATAGGTCTTTCGATTTTCTCTGGCTAGGAGCACCACGAAAAACATCTTTGATTGCCATTAACCCTGAAATGTGTTTCCAGAGGCTGATCCATTTGGTCCGCTCTGCCACAGAAAGGGAAAGGCTCTGGTCCTAAAAGCGAAGTTTTTGTTCCAATTTCGCCACTTGGTCCACTTTCACAATATAAATAACCGTTTCTTAATTATATGACACAATGTATGATATATTTCCCTTGAATTAAGTTAAAAATGTACCTCTTATAAGTTCCATAATGATTAAACTTTGCTGGTTTTTTAATGGTTCTACTCCTACTGCTTTTACAAGGAAATGTCATGTGAGTAAGCTTATCTGCTGGAAGATTTTAATTTGTTTCAACACTTTGTTTCTGATCATCACTGATTTCTGAAGTGTCTAAATCAGGAAAATGTCGCTTAATATGAAAATCATTTTGAGAATATTTCAAATGAACAGTATTTCCACAGTATATGCAAATTGTCAAATAAATGAACAGTATTTTTACGTACTATTTGGCCATTTTACTTCCACGCTTGCCATTTCACACCATGGAGAAGGAAACCACGGTCTACGATATTGATGCTTGTTTTGAGATCGAGAGTTGCATTCTCCTCCAGTGGCAAAACATCATAGAGGAAAGATTTCTTCTCTTTTCTCATTCCGCCTTTCGTCAACACAGCCAGGGGTAATGGAATTAGTTCATGAGTCAAAAGATCTGCTACATCTTTACTAGTCTTCTTTGCTATAAGAGTTCTTTGAAAAATCGTCAGAAGGTTAATGGTAATAACTGTCTCGCCATTGATTTTAATGGTACTGCTTCATTTTACCAAAGTTGCCGCCAATAAAATTATGCATGATTTTGGTTTCAATATCTAGAGCTTGGTGACAATTAATTTTTAAGTTTCCCAGAATGCCTGTCGACAGAGACATCAGCTAATTTAATTTTGGAAAAGTGGGATGCTCGTTAAACTATTAATCTTTGCTCGGTCTTGTGAATCTCTCTGTTGCCGTGATTTCCTAAAATCAACGTTCTGCTCTCCACTTTCAAAAATCACTCCAGTAAACTCCTCTAATGATGCGCAGATGGCGGTGCGTCTCGGAGATCCAGCAACCCACTTTACGATTACAGAATCGGCAATTTCTCTTCTTCGCGTCAGGCCTCCTTTTCATGGAGCGCTTTAGAGTTTGTTCTATAGTTATATCAGACCATACTCCTGTTCACCACCTGTTTACCAGATTGATTAATAGCGAAGTACCCCTTTTTCTGCAAAATTTCATGTACGCCTGTGGATAGGAATCTTGCTATGGTGTCATATCTTGCACGTAGAGGTGCACACATTTAGCATACTAACGCAAGTGCCTACTCGCATGGAAGAATGGGATCATCTGCTGTACCCGCGCCAAGTGGCCATGCGAATCACCATGACGCTCGGAAACCATATTAAAATACTGCATCCATTAAGTAGCGGAAGGCCCATTTTCCTTAACAGTATCCAGCTGATTTTTAAATTTGTTCAAAGTTTGATAACAAACCAGCATTCTCTTCTGTCTGGAGTAAGTGATGCCATCGTGCTCAACATGTCAACATGGGCATGCTCTCTCTCTTTTCTTTTTTTGAAATATTGGCTTCCTCGATAATGATTCCAGCTGAAACAAGTTGAACAAGTTAATGTCCCCGAATCGCTCGGCTGTAAGCGTGGCCGGTTCACCTTTTGTCTTCTGAATTCGCAGCAAATACTTGGCATAATACTTCTTTTAATCCAGATTCAGCCATTGTGTGACCAATACACCCCCTGAAAGACATTAGGGTGTGAAATCCACCAAGTCTCACAATAATTGTGCCAAACTTTATTTCTCGAGCCTTCAAGTATAAAGGTTGATTGAATGTTACAAAACAAACTGCGGCACCTGCCTCCTGACTTATTTTTGAAGCATACTGTAATGCAGTGTTTATGGTATTGTAGTCGCTAGGTGGTAGTTTAATGAATGGAAGAAAATTTACTTTAGTTTTTTCTGTATTAATAACCTCACTAACCATTTGCATAAAACCTTTCCATTCTGGAATAGCTGGCATATCTGACGCTCCAGCTAACATACTCTGAACATTTCCAGAAAACATGGAAATTTCTCCGAGTTCTAACAACAATCTCGATTTCTTCAACTTCAACGACGCTTTTTCGCAAAAGGCATGCATCCAACAGTGGAAAAACCTGCAACCCTTCCATTGTAAATATCCATACAAAAACAACCTTATCTCAATCCTTTTAACAACAGCTAAATCAAGAATACTTCTTACCGAATCATAACGGATAACTGGAAAAAGGATTTCACTGTAGGCCATGCCATATTTCCAAGAGTTACCTTTTGCAATTCTTTGAACCGTCAATAGAAACCATCAGATGCTCATTGGAGATACCTTTTCGTCCTTTTCCCTCCTACACCGTCGTCAAGGTCTCGTTCTATTGAAGACAGCCCTCAGAACTTTACTTTATTTTCAAGCATCCTAAGGTAAGTTTGTATGGTTCGAAAACTATCTACCGCGCAGGAAGTCATTCAAAAAACTAACTTTGAGAATTTCTATTGTGATCATAGAGCAGCCTGCTTGTAAGATCCTGTGAATAAATTACATGCATCTGGGGTCACTCGAAAAGCACTAACGAGAAGGGTGTCAAGGACACAATAAAGTAAGATGATTGCGAGGGGGATAGCTGAGAATTCAATATTGAGGTGAGCACCACTCCCCCATAGCAGAGTATGCTCACCCCTGATGTAGAGCTTGGTGGTAGATGAACTACTAGGAATACTGAGCAAGCTGGGCTTGAACGGCGTTGGGTATGCCGATGAAATCGTTATTATAGCAAGAGGAAAGTTTGAGGGCACCCTGTGTGGAGTCGGACAGACTGGACTCAAAGCAACGGAGGAATCCTGCCAAACAGTGGAAATAAATTAGATAAACCCATCAAAAACCACCGTAGTGCCTTTCACTGGGAAGAGAGAACTCCCTACAATGAAGGACATCCGAATACACGGAACTACTATTACAACGGTGAAGGAAATTAGATATCTCGGCATAACGCTGGCTACAAGGGCTCTCACGGTGTAACGAAATCATGCAGGCAAAACCTGGAGATGCAAACAAAGGGGTCTTGAGATAGCACCATGATAGTAAGACCAACTCTAGTATTTGGATCGATAGTCTGGTTCAAGGAAGTTGAGGAGCAGAACATAAAAGCAACTCTCAACAAACTACAGCGCCTGGCATGCACATTCATTACGGGCGCAATGAAAGCTTGTTTCACCAGCAGCCATCGCGATAATTGTAAGTCTCGCGCCTCTTCACATGTAGCGGAAGGAGCTGCTAGATAAGCAATAACTAGAATCACGAGGGAGGGAGCTCGGAATAGGAAGACTTGCTTGAAAGGAGAGTTACGATATCTCTAATTAAGCTTATTCCGCTCCTCGAGCTTCCCAGTGATGACTGAGAGAGAACAGCACCAGAATGAGAAGGAAACACCACATCCATTCTTACATCGCCATTCAATGGACTGATGGGAAGTGAAAAAGGGACCGGAGCCGGAGTACTTGGGCCTGGAATAAAGTTCTCCGAAGCAATGAGTTTTGATGGCAATGTTGCTAAGAATTTTCGAAAATTCAAGTAAAATTTGGAATTTTACTTGCTGGCATCCTAGAAAGCTCAAAACCAGAAAAAAACCAAGGCAGCTAAGTACATTGATGAATGTGATAGAGGAAGAAGGAATTGAAGTCATAAACACCTTGAAGCTCACAGATGCTCAAAAGGGTAACAATCAAACCATTTTAAATGAACTTGAATTATTTTGCATCCCAGAGAAAAATGAAATGTTCGAAAGGTTCGTTTTTATACAAGAAATCAAGAGGGAGGGTGAGCCATTTAATCATTTTTACACGAACATCAAAGAACTCGCAAACTTTTGAATTTGGTGGAGAAATGGATAAAGCACAAGCATAGATAGTGAGAAATTAAGAGAAAAACTGCTTTTATCGAAAAATTTGAAATTGGAAGATGCTTTAAAAATATGCCAAGCTAATGAGCTGTCAAAAAAGCAATTGAAGAATGTTGAGAATAAGTTAACGAGCAAAGTTGAAGTCATAAAATCCACAGGTACGCACCAGAGAAAATTTGAAAACAGTAATGTATGTAATCAGAGCAGAAATGATAATCCTCATGATAATCAAAAGCAAGAAGAGTTTGACTGTAAAAGCTGTGGTAGGAGACATGGTTATATATAGTGCACTGCTTATGGTAAGCGTTGTAGATGTTGTGCTCACTATAGCCATTTTGATGTTATGTGTCGTAATATATCAACTGGATCAGGTAGCAGTGAATGATGATAATGAGTCTGATGGTGAGAGTGTTGACTATGTGTTATTGTTAATATGTATCAATGAGAAAAAAAAAATGCTAAAGAATGGACTGAAAATATCAAGGTAGGAGGTAGAAATGTTAACCTCAAAAGTGGATACTGAAACTCCTGTTCATATTTTGCCGTAGATTTTAACTGATAAATTAAAAAATGTAAAATCAGAAAGAGGTTTTAAGATTGTTCCATTGGGTATGATTAATGTTAATCGCAGTTACAAAAATAATGTTTAGTTCAGCCAACGAAGACCAAAAAAGGCCGAATAGGGGAAATAATTAGTGTAGAAGCTAATTTTGGTATATATGTATGGTGAGGTGTCCTGAGAAACATACTAAAAGTCCTGATGAGTAGGGAGCGAGCTAAGGTGGTAGGGGGGCCTCTGAAGCTTACGAAAAATTTCCTGCAAAAAAGATTTTAGAGGAGACATGATGGCGGGAAATAGATATATTTTGAAAAATCGAGTTTTCATGTTATGACACTATCGATAGTAGGTACAACAATTGTGAGAAATACGGTTTGAGAGAGCTAGCCATACATTATACAGAAAAAAGAAGACAATGTTATTCTTACCTCACATTTACTTCGAAAAGCATTAGAAGAACCGCGCCACTCCTTATTCTGCGTCAGGTGATCCGCCGTCGCCAGTGCGCAGTTGTATTTATCTGTTTAGTTTTCTCATGTGTGTAACTGTGCGTTTTATGATTTGTGACCATGGCTGAAAAGTGTTTAATTTAATTTGTGATAGCGAAATTTCAAAAGATTTGTGTTATGTAGGAAAAAAGGGATGATTGGATTACTAGAGGCAAGCGTGTTAAGGAAAGATGAAAAAAAATAAGATTTTACAAGTAAAACAAGTGGTGTTGTTAATTCTTCTTATAGAAAGGAATTTATTATTGTTCGTCGATTTTAATCTGATACTCGGACGGAATGTGAGCTGGTGGCTCCCTACATTAGAATGCCAATGGTTACCTGACGTCACACCTGTTTTTGCCATATGAAACACCCTCTCGCACCTCATACCGCAAGTATCAGTTAAAAATCGACACACAATAGAAGTGCCACAATTAAAAAAGTTTTGAGAGATACCTACTCTTTCACAGCAACCTTCTACATCACGTGATATCCCGTTTTTGCGTTCAGCACATGAGAAAGTCGATTTTAAATCAAAGTGTTTCTTCTGCACAGACGCGTACGATAATAAGAAGCAAATAAAAAAAACAGTATCATTTGGGACGACTGGTTTTTAAGGTTTGTACGACTACGTTTCACAATTCCAATTATTGATCGTGGGCAGGAGAGGAAGGGATCAGTGGGGGGATAATCTAGTAAGGCGTATTTGCAATGTCCAGGATTTACTCGCAGCAGATGCTATATATCATGAGAGGTGTTATAAAAAGTTCATCTTGTATAAAATAAAAGAGCTGCCACCTTCAAACAGAAAAAGAGGACGTCCTCAGGATGGAGAAATTTCAGCAGCAATGGAAGAAATCTATAATAACATAGGAGGGAATGATGATTGTCAATTCTCCATGGAACAGCTATTGGAACAAATTACGGGAGAATCACAAACACGTGAAGACTATATCAAACAGAAAATGATGGAAAAATATGGGGACCGCATTGTTTTTAGTTCGACTCGTACCAAAATAACTGAAATCATCTTAGATGATATTGAACTTATGGCTTATGACAATAGTGCCTATATCCCCCTTCAGAAAGTTTGTGCAATGGAGTTGAAGAATTAATATCTACCCCAATCTCTTCGTGTCTTTATGAACTGTCCTTCAAAAAAGAAACGATCCAAACAGGAAGTTGATTAAAAATTGAATACTATGGCTCATGCTCTGATTGCTTTGTTCGCCCTCGATGTTTCATATCCCCAATTCTGACCAGCATTGCTTTGTTCATGTATGGAAGTTTGGATCAAGGAACTTAGTGTTCCTTCTTTTGGCATTAGGATTAAGTGCCTCTTATTACGACGGCCAGCATCTTGAGCCTTCCACCATCTATCACCCTGAACAGCCTATCCCAAGTGAAACATTTTGTCAGTATATCTTTGATAACGCGGATTTCAACATCTCCACTACCGACGGCTGGAATACCTTCTACAGCATGGGGGGTATTAAATGTGTTACACCAGCCCCAGCTTTCCTTTCATCCGCAATGGTCGAAAGACTAAAATCTGCTCCCTCCCAGGCAGAAGTGAGCTAGCTTGGAGCTCTGGAATTTCAACCATTTGACGATAGGGTAAACGGCGCATTACAGAAAATTATCATGGAAGACTTGGCCGTGCTTTTCGAAAAATGAGCACTCCTCTAGAAAATAAACTTGTTTCTGTTGGTCCCCTAGATGATAGATGACGGATTAACTAGATTCCCACTGTGAAAGGCTAACGCTACAGCACAACCTCTTGATGAGAAGACGAAGGTTTAAAAAGAATCGTTGGATGTTCCCCTTTGTTTTCAAAAATGATGTCCTTATTCGTGTTATTAAAAAAAAGCTTCTATAATTTGTTGTCATACCCATTTATTAACCTCTCCTAATTAACGGTACATACTTATCTTAATCTAATCACATAGTACACGTCATGTAATAAAAAAATATGTACATTATTGACACTTACTCTCGTATCTTATCCATACCACATTATTTTATTTACAATAGATAAATAATTATTCGTATGTTAATACAATACTTAATGCATTTCGTTTTTGTATAAATAATAAACTGGCAAATTTACCACTCTAAAAAAATTTAAGAAAAAAAAAAACTAAATTAGAAAAATGACAGAGAAGAAGGTCTATTTGGTATATTATTTAAATTACTCACTTAATTTATAGAGAAACAGTAAACTAACTGATGCAGAATTAAATTTGTATCTTACCAACTATCTACTTAAGTAAAATTTAAATAAATTAAAAATATACCTTATAGTATCAAGGTTTTGTATGGCCTAAAGACTCAATTATTTTTTTCTGTTGCTACTTCACTTCTTGAAAAAAAATTCTGATGATCCGAATCCTGTTGATGGTATTTCAGCACCGGAACCTTTCAAGTCCTTCCACAAGGAAAGGTCTACCACTGGAAGGGCTTCACAAGGAACCACAGCATTTCTGCAAAAAAAAAGAAGTTTACTCAAAGCCGAAGCAAATTTTTAGAATTTACTCACGTATGAGAAATCCTTTCAAAAGCTCTAGGCTGCATAGATCTGATATTCAAACCATTGTCACACATAATTCTCGCAATTGAAGCTTTCCTTATTTCAGCGAGCTGTGGTAAAGTGAAACCTATAGAAACAAACCAATAACCAGCTCAGTCAAACAAATTCTATAATTGCTTACCAATATCACCGGAATTTTCGAACCAAAACCTGTCACCGACTCTTGTCCTGAAAAACTGCTCAGTTAAAATACACAAGAAGGTGGGTCCAGCTAATGTTCCCGGTACTATAGCTTCCAAAGAACCACCAACTGTTAGGTCAACATCGTCGGGGTGTTCATAAAGATTAGCCAATCTTCGTACATTCTATAATAATTTATATTAGATTAGTTATTTTCATAACAAGTACGAAAAGTGTTACTTTCCGCACAATTACTAAGTATTTCATACGTACATCTTTGGAAATTACATCCAAGAAATCGTGGAAAGACCTGGCTTTAGGTAATCCACAGAAATGCCTATAATCATTATAAGATGCCAAACCGTGATCCCTGTTTCTTTGGATACAAATAGCCTTCAAATCTTGACCAAGCTGTTGTCCAGGTTGTCTTAACCAATTAAGAGTTATCTATCAAGAAAATAATAATTAATTAGCAGAATGTTTTGATGCAAATATAAAAATATTACTTCTCTATCATGGTAAGCATCAGCAGCCAGTTCAGGTTGAGTACCCAAACCTCTGGTGAGTTCATCAAACGAGTTGCCTTGTTCCAGAATGGCTGGTCTGTTGAACCAGTCGCTGATTCTGATGTTTCCGTAGCTATTTCTTTTTTCACTGACCAAGCTAGAATATTTAAGTAGTTAGTATCAAATGTACCCAACAAACACTGTAAGTTTTCTTACTCTAATTGTCCAGCAATTAATGTATGGAAAAATCTGAAAGCTGCAGTAGAATGCTCGTTCAAAATGGTTGGGTTTACGCTTTGGTCATAATCATCAACATAGCCATTGGTTCTGTATAAAATTTTATTTTTAAGAGAGTTTTCCAAGCCAATGAAAATCGGTAACCATTCGTAGTAAGATATTTGTTGATGTTGGCCAATGTTGATTTTTCTGGCTTCCTGGAAGATAGTTTCATCGTCCCAATGAGGATTGATTTTAGCCAAGTTATCAGCTAATCTGTTGTGTTCTCTGAGAAGGAGGGTTTGTAGGACGGTTAGTTGAGGGTTTTGGTTAACTCTAGTGTCTCCTGGAAGTTAGGTGTTTTAGTTAACTAAATAAAATAATAAGTGCAACTTCTTACCGGCCATATAACAAGGTTCATTAGGATCCAAAACCGTACAAGATCCGGAAACGTTTTGGTTTCTTGGTAACCATTCTTGGTTGTTTCTTTGTTCGCTTATCAGTCTACCTCCTTGGAAGGCACGGACTTGTTGGTTGACTTGGTCACTGTTACCATAGACGATGGAGAGATCAAGGTAATGGTTGACTGCAGTCAGCTACAAAAAAAAGTGAGCATCTAACTTATACTGTGAACATTCAACATTGCGATTTAAAACTACTTAAGATTAGATTCATGGATTATACAATATAAGGTTAGGCAGGTCAGGCATCGTATAAATAAAATTGTGGAATTCCAGATTTTTTTTTTTTTGTTCCCTTTCAAAATTTGTAATAAATTTCCATCAAGTCTGTATTGCTACAGCCCATAAAACAATTTCTCTTTTTGGAAATTATTGATAATCGTTGAAATTATGTCCTTTGTAAGACAATAGGGTATCTAAGCTAAGAAAGGAGACTGTAAAAATAGCAACAATAGAATAACAAATGTCCCAAACAAGTATAGCATGCATGAAAACACCAACACGATTCTGATATTTAACGGAATAGGTGTGGATCTTCCTTTACCAGGGAAAGATAATTTGCGTAATTTTATGTAACACACGTCTGTCTTATCTTATGACTTTCAATGAGATGTTGTTAACATGACAAGGTGTGTCCCATAAAACTTTTTTAGCAGTAACATCTGAATTTGAAAAAGATTGCTATTAATTTATGCGATGAAATCGAAACAACCTTCAGATTTTTCTATTAAAATTATTGAATTAGTGAACTGCAACTAAACAAAACTTATAATATGTAAGATAATTCTTAGGGAGACAATAGCCCGAAAATCACGATTGGCATCATCTGGGGAGCGCAACTCGCGACTGAAGGTTAAGTAGGCCGGGGTAAATCCGGTGGAACTATAGCATGCGGTGTTCATTGCGAATCGAATAGCCGGTAATTTAGATGACCACACGGTATGATCTTCGTTTGTGAGGAGTGCTAACTGGGTGTTCAAGTCAAAGTTCTTCCGTTCCACAGGGTTTGCAGCTGGGTGATAGACTGGTATCAAGTTCTGATGAAATCCAAGGCATTCTGCTACTTGCTGCATAACAGAACTGGCGAACTGAGTACCGTTGTCACTAATGACACGACGAGGCACTCCGTAGTGCAGGCAGGATGACTTCATCAATTAGACAAGTAGCATATGCTTGTGCCGTGGCTGATGTTATCGTCGGTGTCGTCTCTTTCACATGGTGGTCTAGACAGTGTGTCGGCTATGACATTCTTCTTACCAACGATGTACTCAATTTTGATGTCGTAGGGCATGAGCTCTAGTGCCCAACAAGCAAGTCTGCCACTTGGTGATTTGAGTGTCATAAGCCATTTCACGGCTTGATAATCGCTTTGCACAATAGTTTGGCATCCTTCTAGGTAACCCCTGAACTTCTTGAAGGCCCATACTACTGCAAGAGCTTCGCGCTCTGTAGTATTATAATTTTGTTCAGCAAGTGTCAGCAGTCTAGAGGCATATTCTACTGGGCGCTCATCTGGTCCCTTCCCCTGAAGTAGACACAGACACACAGAAAGCATCCGTTCGTAGGATATATGGTAATCTGCTGTCTGCTTGCCTCAGGATTGGGGCGGAACAGAGAATCGTCTTAAGCTTACTGAAAGCTGCAGCTTGATCTGGGCCCCAGTTCCACTTGACGTTTTTCTTGGTCAGTGTCGTTAGTGGCTTAGCAACATCGGCGAAGTTTTCAACAAAACGACGAAACCATGAGCAGGTTTGGATAAATCCTAACAGTTGCTTGACGTTTTTCGGTGGTAACATGTTCATGATGGCAGCGACTTTATCTGCACATGGACGTATTCCTTCCATGGAGAGAATGTGTCCTAGATAATGGACGGATTGACAGGCGAATGAACATTTTAGGTCGATTAAGTGTTAACTTGTACTGCGCAAGTCGCAGGAATACTTTATTTAGGTCGGTCAAATTGTCTTCGAAAGACGATTACATGATGATCAAGTCTTCAAGGTATGCCAACATAGAGACGTCTTGTATTCCTGACCTAAACCTATCGATGAGGCGTTGAAAAGTACTGGGCGCGTTGCGGAGTCCAAATGGCATGCGCTTGTAACGGTAGGTACCGAAAGGGCAAACGAATGCAGTTTTGTCCCTATCTCAAGGCTTCATGCTGATTAGATGATATCCGCTCCTGAGGTCTAAGTGTACAAACACAGTGCAAGCAGATTTCCGCTTACTGGTAACCAGCGCCGACTCGCGCTTATAGGCGCGAAAAATGAATGCATGTTTTTAAATCGGCTAGAACACAGTAAAAAACAGGTACTTTACCTGCTATTTACTGTGTACTAGCCGATTCGAAAACATCATTCATTTCTCGCGCTTATAATCGCAAGTGGACGCTGGTTACCGGTAAGCGGAAACTTGCTTGCACTGTGTTTGTACACTTAGACCTCAGGAGCGGATATCATCTAATCAGCGTGTTTGTATACTAAGGTCGTGATGTAACCCCTTTGCTTAGCTGCGTGCAAAAGATCATCGATTCTCGGGATGAGGTATCTGTCTGGTCTGGAGCCTTATTCTGTAAGAACGAACCATTCGAATCGGTAGAATTTCTTCGATTGTGACGTCATTTTTGGTTTGGTTTTCGCGCTACCAAACCGAAAATGACGTCACAATCGAAGAAATTCTACCGAATCGAACGGTTCGTTTCTTACAGAATGAGGCACCTGGTGATGGCATTTAGGGCTCGGTAGTCTATCGTGAGACGTACCTTGTGGTTCTTTTTGGGCACGAGGACGACAGGCGCTGCGTACAGTGACTCGCACTCTTCAATATAGTCCCTTTCTAGTAGCTTGTCGAGTTCTTTACGAAGAATCGATTTTTTGGGCTCTGATATCCTATATGGCGGTACTGCGATGGGTGTGTCATCCATAAGTACGATGCTGTGCTCGGCAAACGGAGTCGGATCTTTTGAAGGAACGAAAATTTCAGAAAATTCACACAGAAGTGAGTTGAGTGTACATCGTTGTTCTTCGCTAAGCATCCGTGCTTCGTTGTCACAAAGTTCGAGTTGGTCGTACTGTACAGTATTGATAATGCATGTGTTATCAACATTCGAATCGAAAACGTAAGTATTTATAGGATCGTTACCAAAACTTTACCGGTTTTGTGGCACGTTGAGGAGAAAGTTAGCGGCTCTGATCAAATCAGTACCAAGAAGTGTGCGGCTGTTGTCGTCTTCAGGTACAGAGATGAATTTTGTGGAAACACATTTATTCTGTAACAAGACATCACATCGAAATATGCGAGTGTCAACTCTCCTCGTAACACGATGTCCGTTGATTCGTGATAGGTACCAGTGGCCTTACTTTCAGAGTTTCATCGTCCACGCAATTGAATAAAAACTCGACATCTCGTCCCACGATAACCGTATTGGCATAAGTTTGTTTCGGTTTGCAATTCGGACAGTTACTTTTTATATATCCCGGCGCGCCACACCCGTAACACGTAACACTGGATGCCGAAGGTTCCGGCGGCTTTGCAGGATTCAACCGAAGGTTTGACCGAAGGCTAATTTTGTCTATCAGCAGACTTATTTTTATTTATTCGCTTACGGCATTCGTCAAATGTGTGTTCAGTGTATTCACAAAACGAGAAGCGTTTTTTGACTGCACCGGAGTCGTTGTATGCTGTCGGTTCACTAGAAACGTCAAAAGTTTCTTCTGCTAAGCGCGCATGCGTGAGTAATTTACTAAATGAAGCTACTTTATCGCGGGGAACTTTCTCGCGAATTTTATGATGCAGAAGTCCGTAAACCATATCAAGCTGGATCTCTTCCGCAAGCGAACCAGGAGGCAGCTGTGCGCTTTACATACAAAAATGTCAGATTTGGTTCTCGAGTCCTGCTCACGGGCGAACAGTTCGCGATACACGCGGCAGGCAGGCTTGGCAGGGCCAAAAATCGACCGCAACAAGTCTATAGCCTCCTGCCATGTCGTTAGCGTAGATTTTACACCTTGGTACCACGACGCAGCGAAACCGTCCAAGAGCATTGGAAGACCTTTTAAAGCATTTACGTCCGAAATGTCTGTAAAACTTCTAAAAATCTCGATAGCATCGATGAAGGCTTTAACGTCCGTGTCCGATGAACCGTCAAAACGCGAGTTACACTTCGCAAAATAACCACTTTGAGCTACAGCGGGAGGATTTTGAACATGTTGTGCATTACCAATGGCGAGACGATCCATAAGTTCGCGAAATTGTTCCTGTGTAAGGTTGACCGACGCCATTTTGTTCGAGCGAAGGTTGTACGAGTGTACCGAACCTTCCACGATGCAACAGTAGCAAGAAAAAAGAAAAAAAGGCTACTTACAGTTTGGAGGCTTCAAACCAAACCTTGACACTTCTTATGGAATAAAAACTACCATAAACGGGGCCTTACCCTTGGCTCTACCTGTGTTTGATGCACAATAGTGAATTAATCGCGACGCGGATCCGCTTGAAACGCTTTAAAATCAGTATTGTCGCTAATACCGGACGTAACACAGCTGTTATGGTTGATAAGATAACTCGAACACAAAATCGACAAAAACGTTAGGAAATCAAACGATGAACAAAACTACTTGTATTCGTAATGATTTCGAAAAAGTTTCGATGATAATTCATACAAAAAGTACAGAAAACCGGTGATTACTCACGCAGTACCTAACGCGTCATAGTTGTTCACAATTCGGCTGTTTCTCGGTAATGACTCCCGTACCATATATACGAGCGCGAAAAACACCATGGGTTTCGTCGAAAAACTACACGAAAATCGCGATCGGCACACAATAATCACTCTACCAGTCTTGAAACTCACCGTGCCCCACGTTGGGCGCCAATTTGTAAGATAACGTACACGGGAAGAATTAAACGAGAACCGATAGAGAAAACTGACTACTGTATTTTGGTCTTGTATTAACACAGAAAACGGAATGAAATTTGCGTTATTGCACTATAAACGACATTAATACCGAGGACCAGCCGATCAGTGGCGTGGGGATTAGGGGATTTTGTTACAAATAGGGTTTTTTATAATGTGAATTCAATGGTATGACTTGATTTCTTGATTAGCTATGATTATTCAAAAACTGTACATAGGATTGAATTCATACCAACATGGAAAGGTTGAGGGAATAGTCAGAAACAGGAAAATACCAGTAGGGTACACTGGATCGACCTACGAACGAATTGAGAACCATGCGAAAATATACAAAAGTGTATGATTATTCAAAAACTCTACATAGGATTAAATTCATACTAACATGGAAAGGTTGAGGGAATATTCAGAAACAAGAAAACACTAGTGGCGTACACTCGATCGACCTACGAACGAATGGAGAACCACACGAAAATATACAAAACTGTATGATTATTCAAAAACTGTACCTACATAGGAAACTGTATGATTATGATTATTCAAAAACTGTACATACGATTGAATTCATTCATACTAACATGGAAAGGTTGAGGGAATAGTCAGAAACAGGAAAATACTAGTGGCGTACACTCGATCGACCTACGAACGAATGGAGAACCATACCAAACTGTACCTACATAGGAAACTGTATGCAGGCACCATTCGATAACTTCAGACTTATGTTCGCTAGTAATTTTTTTTTGGACCCTTAATAATTAGCGAGTTCCTTACTTGTTCAGCTGGTTGATGATCTCCAATGCATCTCCTATCCTTATCAGTGATAGTTCTGACAAAATTCATACATCTAATGTTTTGCTGGGAATAAGCTGGATCATTAGCTGGTACCGTTATGGGGAAGCAATGGTCCGGACTGTTGGCTAATTCCAAAAGTTGACCGTCAGGTGAACAGCAACGTGTTCCATGAGGTTCTAAAATATATATTTAGACGTTTTATTTCATGTTTAACTTTGGAGGTTTAAAATACTCACGTGTCTGAGTGCTTCCAACGATCATACTCATGTCATGAGTAATAATTTGACCATACTGCATCGCGTTAAGGGTCCAGATAGGGTCTTCGATAGGCACATCAGGGTATACCATAACCGACACCGCTCTGGCACTTGGTAAGGGGTTGCCACTTAGGGCTACTGTGGGTGTACTGATACCTATAAAAATTATTTTCAATGCAATTTTCGAAATATTAACTTCAAAACATACCATCTCCGTATTTTGCCGGCAATAATCTGTTGTAACGAGTTTGCGGAATACCCAAACCGGGATTTCTCAAATTGTTACAAGATCCATCATAGGAACGGTATCTGGATTTTTGACAGAAGCTTGGAGGTTGGCCGCAACCCAATGTGGCTGGATCTTGGGTTGGTTGTGGGAGTTGTGGGTACCTTTGACCATATAGGTTTGGCTGAGGCGATCCAAATTGGCTACCCCTGAAAAAATAATTTTCAATTTACCTAGAGTAAAAATAACTGGAGTGGAAAACACAGTTTATGTTCACTCTGAAACATGTTCAACTGATATTTTTATAAAATAAAAAGTGAAGATAGACTGTGTGTTCTTTGACTATTCTCTTCACTGTGAGATATGGACTACTATTTCAAAATTTATCGTAAAAAGTTTTTTTTTTTGTACGCTTACCCTCCAACTATAGCAGAATACCCTCCATCACCAAAATGAATTGGGGCTCCAAAAGAAGGTTTCACATTGAAATCGGGTTGCAATACTGGAACTTGTTGGGAAATTTTTCCTGGTCTCCTGTTGTAAATGTGATTGTCTATTAAGTGACCTCCGTAAATGGTGTCCTCATAGGTGTTTGGGTTGATTCTTTCCAAGAATAGGTTTTGATAGTCTTGTGGTGTCGCATGAGTGAGAATTATTAGCATGAAAGGAAAGACCAAGGATGTTTGTAGGGTCATTGTAGCAAAACTGGAAGAAAAAAAAGGAAAAAATTATTGGTATTTAAGCAAGAAAAATGAAGTTCATAGTTCTGATATTTGATAATGGATATAAAAAATATCAGGTCTCACTGTAATAAGTCCGACTTTAACCTCATTCATTTATAATTAGGTATTACTTTTGTACCAACAGTAATAACACGTTAGAAACGTCTTCATTATTTAGTTATTTATATAAATATATAATTACTTTGTTGGTCAATCGTGTTAATGAGTTTATTTTTACAAAAAAGTAAGAGTTAAAGTTTAAAGGTTGAATTAATTGATTTGAAAAAGTGTGTCAGATACTTTTGAGTTTTAATATATTTCAACTAGATATTATTAACGTAAATTTGATATTCATTTGGAAACTCATATTAATAATTTATTAATTCTACACTTTCAAACATTTCCCCAATGTTCTCATTACACCTACAAATAAATAATTTCCTGGTAGGTAATTTTATTCCACAAAATTTTTATTGACAAATCCTTTCACGTATATTGAATTTAGGCCTGCCTCAGGATATCAAGGAAATATTTTAACGGTTTCAAGACTTTAATTTTTTGTCTAATCGGAAAGTAATTTGAGTCACGATATTTGACTTCTGGCTTTTATTACAATAGTTAGTTATTGAAAAAATCGATAAAGTAACAAAAGAGATTGGGCACCTTCAAGCGAATGTTGTAATTATTTAAAATAAATAAAAATGGTACTCATGCGATTAAGATGTGTGTGTCAAGTGGAAAATTAATGTATTTTTAATGCTGAAATTGGAAACTGCTGAGCTTATTAAATTAGAATGCAATTTATCTGCATAATGAATAAGCCAAAGTACCATTCAATTCGAATAACCATAACGTTCCGCTGCTAAATTAATTTAAGAAAAAATGTTATATCCTTCAATGAAACTAATAATAGTTCAACACTTGTAATATTTATAATGGTACTTATTGTTCAGGATATGATGCAAGGCATAAATTAATAACGCACCATGCATGTGAGTAGATTTTTTATATAGTTGCCCAGTTGAGACACTATACCCAAGTTATTTATTATAATTACAAATATGAAAATGTCCGGCAATAGGTACTAATTATTAGCACTGTTTCTACAAAAAAACTAATTAGAATTTAAAGTTTTTTCAAAACTTTCCTTTGCAACCGAACATTCTAAACATTCTTCTGTCCTTTGAAGAAGGTCAACAAAGCCTACTTCCAGCAATTAAAGCATTAAATATCAGAAAACAATACGCTATTTGATTTATTCGATACAATAAACAATTTATATTTTATATTCCATCGAACTAATATGGCAAACCGATAAACACCGATATTAAAACTGTAACACTGTGGACTATGAAAGTATGGAGCAACAATAATTTATTAAGCGGTTTGAATAATTTATGTGCATGTGAACGTATCAATAACATAGAAATACTTTGCTTTTGCGAAAGTTCCAATAGTTCGTTGTTGACATAATCTTACGCAAAAGTCAGTTATTGGAGTGCAGTGCAACTAACTTCTTACGTGATCCTGGACAATATTAATTTGGGAAATCTACTCACAAACTGGATCGACCATTACTGCTACCAGAAATGATTGAAACCTAAGGAGTTACTCAACCAACAAGTGCGTACTCAGCTTTTGGACTGCCCGAGTGGATCAAGATCCTTTTGGTCCTTTGCCAAGACCATAGGAAAAAAAATTCACATCTACATTGTAGTATCGTCAAATCGTCAAAAGAGCAGATCTCTTTGCTAAACAATTTGCTTCCAATTCCACGATGGAGGATAATGGCAAAGCGCCACAGGTGCTGCCACATATTGGTTCTTTCAGGGACAACGTTGTATTTAGACCTAAAACTATTAGGAAAATTCATCTGCAACAAAAATCTTGTGGTCTCGACAGCATTCCATCAACTGTCCTAAAAAACTGCGCACAGGAATTGGCTTCAACTCTTCGCAAACTGTTTTCACTATTTTACCCGAAACAGGGCAAGACAACTGTTCTTAGCAATTATCATGCCATCTCGATTATATCCGTACTTTCGAAAGTAGGTACTTAATGGAAACGGCAGTCAACCTGAAACTGGTTAAATACCTCAAAGCCAATAAGCTCATCTCTGTCGAACAGTACAGGTTTCGTTCTGAAACATCAACCGGGGATCTGCTGGCGTACATTGGTCATATTTAGAACTCGACACTCGAAAAACATGGCAAATCCAGAATTGTAGCATTTGACATCTACAAGGCTTTCGATTAGTTGTGGCACAAAGGTCTCCTCAGCAAAGTTTCATCGTATGGTCTTCCGAACGAATCTTGCCATTGGCTGGGGAGCTTTTTGGAAAGCAGGTCACTGCATGTTGTGATCGATGGTATGTCTCATTTTGTCCCCAACACTGTTTCTTATTTTCATCAATGATTTGTTGAATGTGACAATAAATCTCATATACAGCTTTGCGGACGATAGTAGCTTGGCATATTACGCTCTCGACAAACCGCTTACTGCAGCTACACACACGCGTCTCGCCTGAGAACAAATTCACTCTGTTAATATTCAAGCAACAGTATTCTCAAATAAGAAATCTTCTGCCAATGATAACCCAGTTTTAAGGACGCCGGGACAAAATATTTCTATCAATCCCTCACTATCTCTTCTTGAGGTGACCACATCGACTAACTTGTGCATGACTATGTATCATGTATATTGGATCGCTGAAAGCGCTTCTCAAAAATTGGTTTTTCTGTTCCTTGCGAAAAACTTCTTCACCTTTGAACAGTTTCTTCTCCTTTATAAGGCTCAAATCAGACAGAACAGGGCTGTGTTATTGCACCCATTTTATTTCCTCCATATATAAAATCCATAATTCACCTTGTCGAGGGTCACCTGCCGTGCAGGAATGGAAATCCAGTACAGACTTGATGGCGGCTTATTCAACCTGAACAGATTACGAGCCAAGACGAACTTCAATATGCGGATGATAACGACGTGATGGCCAATGGCCAATTCAGAGGAAGATCTTCAGGCAATTATCAATGCATTCAACCAGGCATACAGGAGAATCTGCCTAGAGGTCAACTATATCAAGACGCAGATTCTGTACCAAACCGCCCCAAGCCCCAAATAAAACTATAAAAACGTTTGAAAAATAGCGACGCAGACACCAAATAGAGGCACCCCATGGCTGGAACTCTGTAACGGATAGAGATCGTTATCCCTATCGCTATGGCACTTGCTCTCTTCTCCTTTCTTTTCGAAATCAATAAAGAGGGGACGTCAATAGAGATAGAGAAAAGTATCTCTTATCGTTACAGAGTCCCAGCCCTGGAAGGAGAGGCTGGGTGTGCCATGACTGTGGAAGAGTGTGCGGCTTCATAATTGTTTTATGTAGCCATCAGAAAACGCATAATCGACAACAATAAGAATAGGATAGAAGATAATGATACTAGGTATGATGATGTCAAAAATGTAGAAATTTCGAAATTGCCATCAAGTAACTTAGTTGTGTGAATGTAGGTGTAAGTTCTTCAACGCACTTATAACAGATGGGCACCGGGCAGAAAACTAAAAAACAGGCTGATAGAAAAACTAATACTTAATCGAATCATCCCAGTGGAAGAACAAATTAGACTTCACCCCCAGAAATTAACAACAACCAATTTGCTGTACTTTCTAATTACATGGACGAATATTTTAATAAAGCTCACCTATCCACACCAACAAATTATGTACTGTACAAGTGGGACGCACTATGGTATGAGAGGATGTTTCAAAACTGGAAAGTTAACTTCATAAAACCACAAAATCGAATTTTGTAGCTTTTCCAGTCACAGAGTTCTGAGTTGAGTTTCTCAGTGTTCTTTGCCTGAACCACTTTCATCCTTGGTATAGATTGGCAGTAGGTAGATTGAAATGCAGGAGTAACTTGGAAAAACAAATACCTACGTTGTGGACACTTACTCAATTTTACTTACTTGACATGCGCCCGACAATAGCAAAATTAGGGAGATTCAAGGGAAGTTGTGATATGTAAAATAAACGAAAAATTTGTGAAACATAATTTATTATTAGAGAAAACCGCACCGTTCTCGACCTGGAACTCAGAGGGGAAAGAGCACTGCAGAGAAACCCTCGATCTACATTCATGTGTCATTTAAATAATAATTGTGAGTCAATAAAAGTTAAAATTAGGTACCGTCCTATGTCCTTGTGCTAAAATTTTAATTACACACACCACATTCAATCAACACTACCTATATTCAATACTGAGGAGTTTTTGGTTAGTTAGCCAGTTCGACCAGCAGGTACTGAGGACCCTGGTTACGAGAGGCTACTCAACTATAGTTGTTATTTTGAGCCAATATCTCTAGATTCATTTTTCAATTTGTTTGCCAAGATATTCGCTCGTCAGGGTAGGAAAAAATTAAAATCCCTGCACAAAAATCAGCACATAATTGCTCCTTATGACACACAAACTGATCACGAATTGGATTGAACAATCAGTTTAAAATACAAAAAAAAAAAATTGAACAATGAACAATGGCAGATAAGCGCTCTAAGGGACAAGCTTCTTCTCTAGTCTCTCATTTTTTATCTCCCCTTCAATACTGGCGCTCCCCCTGTTCCCAAAAACTTCACAGCGCATACATAGTTGCAACATTTACCATTTGCTTTTCTATAGAAAACGTTTTAAAAAGTCTTATCTTATCTTATGATTTGGATGATTCATTTAGAGGTACCTACTGTTGCCGGAAGCGATTTTTTGACAGATCGAACTGTCAAACTTCAAAACTGCCACGGTATTTGTGTTCAGTATTGTTTGACAATTCATCATGGAAATACTTAGCCCGCCACAACGTCTAGAAATTTTTAAACTATATTACGAAAATCAGACTTCTGTGAGGAATGTATTTCGTGCGCTTCGAGCCACTTATGGTCCACATAATCGGCCTACCGATCGCACTATTCGCTATACCATTAGAAAATTAG